ATGTGATAAGATATATACGTACTATTTAAAGCATGCACGGGCAGAAGTGCTTTATCAGATTTAAAACACGAGAGCGCAGCTCGAGTGCGGACTGCGAGAGCGGAGCTAAAGCGGGGAATGCGAATGATTTAAAATGGCTTAATAACAGACCCATCTGATGAGTTCTTTGGCGAGGTAATTTTAAAAATAAACGTTATCTAAGACGAGAAAATCAAAGCTAAAATTTATGTAAATGAACAAGATTTTTTATCACATATATAAAACCACCCACACGGCAGGGATTTCTTTTGTATTTTGCACATGCAGAATAGCGGAACATGTCTAATGACAAAACAACTATATACGTAGTATGAGATGAATACAGTTTGGTGGGATATTTAATCAAAAGGAGGTCTGTAGAAGTCAGGAAAGCTTTAATTCGAAACTTGAGTAAGGAATGTAATTCCCTAATTGCGGAAATCCGCTCTGTTGGTTTACACAGCGTGTGCGGTCATGGAGATATGATATTGTCATCCTAATATAATTGATATTTCTACAATTTCAAGACTTTATATCACAGCAAAGGACTTCAAATAATAATCAATATTTATATTGAATATTTGTCTGGGGCTTGTGGCTTCTCTTTACATGTTATTTTGAAGGATTGTTTAGTAATGTTGCGGGTGGCAGTGTCTATGTCTATAGTTATCTATACTCGAGTAATCAGTTAGCATTTATTCCACGAGGGTCAGTGACGAATTCCATAGGCAAACGTGTGTTGTTCTTACATTTACTCTGCGCAAGAATTTTACAGGTTTGTGCATTTACTGTATGCTGTCGGTGATAGAGAAAGATTTATGTATATACTTCCTTTCTTCAATACAAATGCCATTAATTAAATGTATATCTCGCTTGAAATATAATTCAAATCATTTCATTTGGTGGACTGTAATTCCGCCTACTGACAAGTAAAGTCGTCTTCTGTTATACCGTGTTGAAATAAAGAGTTAAAATGTTGGCTCTTATGTATAGTAAGTAGTATATATTATTGACTCTTTCCCATCTGACGAATTTCCAACATACATTCAATAAAATTATCTGGCCGAGGAAGTAAAATACTAAAAGTATAACGCAGTTTTTATTTATTTTCACTTTCACTTTATTTTTGTTTAAACTTCGATTTATGTAATAGTTATGAATCATGATGTCCTTTTATACTATTTGTAACTAATTAACATATCAACATATATATTCTAGTCATTATTCGTATTTGCCCTTTGCAAACTTAAACTTTAAGCGCGCAAAGCTTAATGGGAGCAAGTTTCAAGCTTAGTAGTCGAATATTGCAGCTATTAGTGAATGAATTGTTCTTGTAAGGATATATATTTACCATGTCTCTAAGAAATGGCCCCATGTATAAATATGATTTCTAAACTGATTAAATGATGCTCCCATTTTATGCTTTCCAAGCTTATAGAGTTTAAGGTTTAAGGTTTAGAGTTTAAGGTTTGCACTAAACGACAACCTTACTTAATATATAAACGACAACATTATACTTAATAATATAAAGGACATGCAACCTTATTTAAATACTTCAATGCGTATAAATTATATCTAATTCAAGAAAGGTTATAGGTTCTATATAGGTTGACCTTCGAACCTCAAAACCTTAAACTCTAAAAGCGAATTGCAGTGCATGGGAACAATGGAAATCGCATATACCGGCCAAGATTTACGATGGAAAGCGTTCCCATTGCAATTTTATTTTTCGCGCTTAGAGTTTATAAGGTTTATAAAGGTTCGGATTGACTACTGATAACTTTAATTTATTGAGCTTTCGACTCGGTATAGCTATATACTTCGTCCGTTCGAGTCTTCAGTTTGAAATTTCGTGCCTATCAGACGCTCCCGACCTATTTTACAAGATTAATTGTAACATTTAATATGAGCTTGATCCTCAAACGAAAAGGCTCAGACAAACGTTTTCAGGCATGTATAGCATGCTATATCTCATTGCATGTGTTTATATAATGAACACTTTTTGAATGGGAGCGAGGGAAAAAGTAATAATATAGGAATTGATTGCCAAGGTCACGTACGATTCGAATCCTTCACGTAGGTGCATGCATATATATATGGGCTATAGTAACTTGTATAAAGCTTGTTTCTGACCTCTATATATAAAGAGCCAATCCCAACCGAATGTAAATCGGACTTCCCTTGGATGGGACATGAGATATTTTATCACCGCGATTAAATAATCAGCTAAGTCGATAAGAAGAAAACACTTTTGTGCACACACGAGTGCATGAGCTAGTAAGCCTGGTTTCCATGTGGTCATAACTGTCATAAAGATAGACTACAAAAAGTCACGATCTTTCTCATGGATCAACGGCCAGATTATAATAGTTTCCACCTGCATGTAAACCGCATATAAATCATAATAAGTATTCTCTATATTTATAATCATTCTGCCTATTATCAGTGTTAAACTGGCGTATTTCAGCTGTTGAGAATGATCGTGACTCGATTTTACAACCGTTACGACCATATGGAAACCAGGTTTAAGAACTTTCGATCGATATAAATCCTTTCTTGGAAGCCTTCAGTATTCAATAGTATCCGGTTTGCGTCATGTGGAGCAAACGATAAACTGACCCGACAAAGCGAGGCCGGCCGAGCAACCGGCATGCAGGTTCGTATCAGATAGGCCACTTCTCATTCCGTATGGTTTCCATAGCGACGAACGTGAATGTTATTATTAGCTTTGATATTCATGCCCACTCATCAAACTAATCACTCAGAATGTTTTTAACTGAAAACACCTTTTTGTCGCGGACTAGGCAAAGTTTTGTAACATATACATTCGTCCTGTTTTCCTGTATAGCGGACTGACAGCAGACTGAAAGTGCAGCAGATTTCAAGTGGGATTTTAAAGCTAAATGCTGACATGTCGTCCACAAAACAGTGTATTTCATGTAATCGCGAGGTTAGTATCTGAATGCAGAGCACATGAAGTTTTGTTGTATGTTTAATTTAAATTCAGAAATATTAATTGCAGTGGCATTTAATTAAGGCTCGGTGAATCGAGGATGAGAGTACGTTGACTGGAATTGAAGAGAGTTTTAACTTCCCCTCGCGTTTGACCGCAAACTCTATATATACAGTGTACATCTCATCTATCGACTCTCATTCGGCTCTCATCATCTTTGAGCTGGATCAAATTTTGACGAGAGTTGATGCATGGGAGTCAGTTTTGCTCGTAGTTTGAGTGCAACTCTCACACAACTCTTGTTCTCGTTTGACCGGGGTATATAAATATAAGAGATGAGAAAATTCTCTTATACACAATGCCTTCGTTTCTCAACTCTAGAGCATCTTCGTTTGACCGGGAGATTTATTCTAAATCATCGCACATTAATTCCGTGTAGGCCTATAACTATATCAGCGTATAGAATTTCTTCCGCTTTCCAAGTTTTCTGCATGTCGTAGGTTTAATTCGTATGATTTGGTATATTTGCATGTATATTCTCAGACAAGGTTAATTAATATATAAAGAAATATTAGACACATGAATTGATTGTGCTTCCTGAAAAAGTCGTAGAAACAATTCGACGTTGCACGCAAGCGAAGGCTCTTCGGCTTTGTCAACACTGAAGAGGTTTCGTTATATACTAGCCATTTTTTCAGAAACAAACCATATGGCATCTTGACCTATATATAGCTAGAATTCAAGACTATGGTCTAGATATAACTATATACATGCAGCTATGCCCATGCGCCTCAGAAACTTGCCTAATTATACGTTAGAGTCGACTTGTTTTGTGTAAAATATTATTATAGTGTGTTAATATTATTTATTCAGATGCCAATCTCAAGTGAATCATGTGTTTGTGGTCACGTATTATCAGATATCAAGTCCTTGGAAGGAAAAAGATATTCTGGTAGATTTCATTCTATATATGGAAGGCATTATTTGCAAACCGATATAATTCATGGTCAATTCAGACAATAAATTGATTCTATCAATCGAATCTATAAAAAACTGCTATACGGGCACGCGGTTTATATCTCTACCTGAAAAACGCCGGAAAACTACACAGCTGTCTACAGTATACTACCGCTGTACAAAGCCAAAGGCCCTTCCTATAATATATATATATATATATATATATATATATATATATATATATATATATATATATATATATATATATATATATATATATATATATATACATATAACAAACAGAACGGCTACGTTTGAAGAAGTTTATTAAAAAAAGGTATATTAGATACAAAAACTAAATTTTCGGCTGCATGCCACAGCCTTCTTCAGAGTCTGAGGCATGCAGTTGTGGCATGCAGTCGAAAATTTAGTTTTTGTATCTAATATACCTTTTTTTAATAAACTTCTTCAAACGTAGCCGTTCTGTTTGTTACATATGAAGTCTTGTCGGCTGAGCAGAGTACTGGCATTTGTCATATATATATATATATATATATATATATATATATATATATATATATATATATATATATATATATATATATATATATATATATATATATATATATATATACTCGTAGCAGAAAGTAGCGTAAGCAGAAAATTCTACTTGACCGCGGCTGGGATTCAAACCCGCGACCTTCGCATTTCTAGAACGACGCTCTACCGTCTGAGCTACAAGGTCAAGCTGAGAACGACTTGTTAAGTTATGATGTCAGTTGCATTTCGGAGGTTAGTCCTTCAATGCATAAAGCCAGCTATTAGTCTGGCAATGTTGTATATGCGAATGTTGTAAAGGACTAACATCCGAAATGCAACTAATATCTAGGACTAACCTCCGAAATTATTTCAAAGTGCGAGTAATAAGTTGAAACTCAAGTTGAAGAGTTTATAAACATCGGCAAAAAGCAGTTGATTTCAATTCACATTTAAAATCGTTTTACGTAGAGTTTCGTTTTGAATTTTACATTAACTGATAAATTCCATAGAAACCAAAATATTATACCTACTTTATATATTTTAGAAATTGGTAGTTCTGTATTTAAAAGTGTTCAAATTTCATCTATTTTTCCCTATTTATACAAAAAATTAAAAAACCAATTATCATGTTCTGCAGCCATGACTAACATGACGTGGCAACGCGAGCCTGCGTTGAGTGTTGGCGTAATTACGAATACTTCATGTTGAAGCAATGTTTGGAAAATATAGACGAGGGGTTGCTGCATGCATGTATTTCTAGTTATATGTTATGTTACATTATACCCTTAAACTCTGGTCAGCCCAAAGACTCATTAACCTTATGTTATCATCTTGCGGGGGTATAGAGCCAGCTAAGACATACTGGATGCATTAGAGATTATATTTACCCCATACCGTCCTGCCAAAATGGCATAGCGCCCCTGTGACAGAAACCTAAAGTTGAACCAACCTCGTTCCCAGGGTCTCTGCTTCTGTCATCTGGGCCGAGAGCTGGTCACGTGCCTCCCAGATTCTGGGAGGTAAATTTGATTGTAACCGTGAGAGGTGTGGGAAAGGAGCGTGTTTGTATTGTTTTAAAATTGCAACTTTGGGTCATGAAATTTACTGTAAATTTGCAACAAGAAATCGTAAAGAGAACTCTTAAATATTTATATCGTGACGTTCTACTCTATCATCTGGTGTCGAGTTACAATTCAAGCAAGTTGGATCAGATTTCAATATTCAACTTATAGACTTGCCAAAGAAAGCACGCTTTGCCTTTGTACAGCGTGGCAATATTAAACCTACATGAAAATATATATCTCTAGACAGTGTGGTTGTTATTTATTTAGTATTAATGTCTATCCTGATACTCGGACCAAAATAATTTATTTATTGATGAGATGTGGAATTGCAACGAAATAGCGAGATCTATTGATTTCCGCGAAATATCGCCAACTGTATCCAGATTGTTGATCCTTATCTGAAGGCCTTATAAAAAAAACAACTTAAAGCCCGTCAAAAGACTATAAATTGTAGTGGCCCTTGGCATTGCTGAAACGTGAAACCAACGATCATGGTATATGTCAAA